ATTTTTTCATTTTTTAAAGGAATATTATGATCTTCCTGCAAAAACACACTAGAAACCAGTTTCTAGAACAATCAATTACCTATACAATTAACATTAATAACATAAAATAGTTTAAAACATGTAAAACAAAATTAATTAGTTATAAGATCATAAAATGAGTTGCATAAAACTTTAATTGAACATTTAGAACATAAAAAATAAAAATTTAATATTTAAAATTTCCTTCTTTAGCTTGATAAGAAAGAAGAACTTGTCTTTGTATTGATTCAACCAATTTCATGCACATCTCACATGAAATACTCATTCAGAAGTTGCTGCAAATGCTCATTTATTTGAGTTTGATGGTTTACCAATTGAGTGTCGATCCTTGACCATACATTTTTGATTGTGTTGAGTTCTGGTGATTTTGGGCAATAAGTCAAAAAATTGATCTTCTTTGTGTTAAACCAGTATGTTATACTATTGTGTGTGCTTGAGTCTTATCTTGGAAAAAGTGGAAAATGTATTGCTTCTGCCATACAACTGCTTTGTCGATAAAATCAAATGTGTTTCTAGTGTGTTTTTGTAGGTATATTGGTTGATGTGGCTGTTATAAAAATCACAAATACTAAATTTATATAAATAATTTAATTTATTGATAAAAAAAAATAGACTAAAGATAAAACTTGTTTAATTTAATAGTAAAGTGCTGTCTTCTATTAACAAAGTACTGATATAAAATATTAGTATTACCTCATTTTGCTTTAATGTAGAGCGGGTTTTTCTGTTTTGCATTAACATAGTATATGAACAGTTTGAAGTTGTTACAGCTAGTTTCTAGAATGGAATGTTAACTATTTTAACCAAGCACACATAAAAAGACAATTTGAATAAAAACATAGGCAAATGAAATACAAGAAGAAAATTTTTATACAAATGCATTGTGAATAAAAAGTCAAAACTTGAGAATATTTTTCAATTTTGTATAAATATTAATTAAACTTTATTTGATTCATTTTTTGTAATATTTCACACATTGTTTATAATAAAAATAAATATTCATATTAAAAACTTTTCAACGTTGACAACAGACCATTGACAACAGTTGTGGTGGAAACCCATTATTAAAATTATAATAATTTTGAAAAAGAATTTTGAATTAAATTTTTTTGTTATAATAACCTTCCGATTTTTTAACAATAAAAAAAGAAGTGAAATAATCATAGAATTAAAAAAAAATATTTTAATAATTAAAAAAATGTCAAGAAATATCACCGTTAAGCATTTCCTAATTAAGTTAACAGCGTAATATTATTAAATAAGTATATCAAAACACTAAGAGCAAAAAAACACTGATTTATTCTTCAATATTAAATCAATAAGAATAATTGTGTTTTTGTTTAGTTGCGTTTTTGTTTGGTTTCGTTTTTGTTTGGTTTCGTTTTTGTTTCACTATAAATAAATATAATATAATATAAAATATTAAGGCAAAAGCAATATACAAGAAGTTAGTTTAAAAGTTTTAAAACTTTCATCGAACAATATGCCTTAGTGGCCAAAGTGTTTAGGTCGCAACATTGTGAAGTGAAATGTCATGGTTTAAATCTCCTTGCTCTTCCACATTTCTTTTTATTTAATCTTTTTTGATTTTTTAAAATAAATTTTTTTTTGAAGTTCAATAAATTTTACTTTTATTTAAAAATGACATTGTTGCAAAATCTCTTGATTTAAAGGATTTATTTGTGGTTTTGTAAAGTTATTCATTGCACTCCATTATTTGTTTTTTGAATAGTGTTAAAAATAGGCAGTTTAGTGTGTCTTAGTGGCTGAAGTGATTTGCTTGCTGCGCTTCTTAAGTACAATGCGTGTGTTCAAATCTTGTTGCTTGCAACATAATTTTTAAAAATCTTTTCCAATTTTCTAAACTACAAATTAAAACATTTTTAATGTTCTATTGTTGATATATTAAGATAAATTATACTATAACAAATAAAAGAGATAGAGTTTTTAAAAAAGCTTCAAATTACAATAAACATCAAAACAGCAGTAGAAAATTTTTGTGCATTCGTCACCATAAAGATACTAGAGTTATTAATGTGCTTAGGTAATTAGCTCAGTCTATGCATTCAACAAATATTAAAGAGACATTTTTTTTATATGAAAAAAGATTTAACATTTAAACTTTTATTTTCTTCAAAATTAAATAACAGGGTAAGGTTCCTAATATGCTGCTAATGGTCTGGAAAAAAATTTAATAGAAACTTAAGTCTGTACCCGTTTTTCATAGAAGTTTACAATTTTACAATAAGATGTTATAAAGTATTGAACATTAATTATCAATTCAAAACAGCTTTTTATTTTCTACCACTAAATAGCGGTTTCCACAACTACCAAAGCATTTTTTGAAATTTTTTGAAGTTTTTTGTTATAAATTATTTTTTTATTCATAACTTTAAAAGGTAGACAGTATGTATAGTTTTTCTACCGCTTACTAAAAAATATTAAAGTAAGGTATAAGTATAGAAATGGTCAGTATAGAATAGATTTACCAAGGCCCAAATTTTACAGGTCCAAAATTCTAGTATTCATTAATATATATAATCTAAAATATACAGCAAAATAAAGAAAAAATATCAAAAAGTTTTTTGAGTTTTATAGGTTTTTTTATAGCATCTTCGCTTCCAACAAGGCTGCAAGCAACCTCTATTAGAGTTAAAAGTTACTGGAAGAGAAAAGATGAAGTTTATGGAGCAAGATAACTATTATCAGACAAATTAAAAGATTGCAAATTATATGAATCAAGAAAGCAAGATAAAGAAATTCCAAAGAACTGTTGTTCAAGGAAAAAAGTAAGACAAATAAGAATTTTGGGAACACTTAGGAATAGTCACAGAAAAAGAATGAGACTTAATTGATTGACAATTAACATGAGAACGAATTTTAGTAAATGGCACAAGAGACGCTAGCTCTTTAGAGCAGTTGCCCATTATAGTATTTGTAGAAAAGAAAAAGAGAAGCAACATGACAATATGATAATGGTTGGAGGTTGGCTGCAAGAGCAAGTCAAACTATGTTTACAATGCGTTTTTGCACCTTGTCTAAAAGAGAATGGGCATCATTGGAAGATCTGCCCCAGATATGGCAACAGTATTCCATGCAAGGACAGATTTGAGATTTATAGAGATAAAGAATAGAATCCAGAGTAAGAAAGTGTCAAGCACAATAAAGAAATGCAACCTAAGCATATGCTGATTTTGCAATGGATTTGATATATGGTTTCCAAGAAAGATCGGAAGTAAGAATTAAATCTATAAGAAGAAGGGTAGATGACTCTTCGAGTACATCACTGTTCATAAATATAGGAAGATCTAAATTATTGCGAAAAAAATTGGGTTTTATATGAATTAAAGTTCACCAGCCACTGTGAGCCTTATGTTGTAGCAGAAATAAGATCCTTTTCAAGCTCAAATGTCCCCTCCAAGCGATCAGAGAGTGTTGGCTTCTTATTAAGACAAGAATAAATAGTAGTGTCATTAACAAACAATGCCACCTTAGATTTGAGAATATCTGGAAGATTGTTAATTTAAATTAAAAAGTATATAGGGCCAAGGATAGAACCTTGAGGAACCCCTGAAGTTACAGGATATGAAGAAGAGGCTGTCCATCGAAGACAACTTTTATACTACAATTGGAAAGGAAGAATTTAATAATCTTAAAGATGTTACCAGATACACTGTAAGAAAAAAGCTTATGGAGAAGACCAGCATTTTTAGATCAAATTTTATCAAAAACTTATGATGTGTCAACCTCTCTGTAACCTCTCTAGCTCTACATAATGTACAATAAAATCTATAGGTTATTACTGTTAGCAAATCAGCAGTAGAATGAGAAGATCGAAATCCATATTGATGATCAGAAAATAAATTATTAGATTCAATATGAGAGATTAAGTGTTTGTTAATTAAAGATTCAAAAACCTTGCCTCTAACAGGAAAATGAATAATGGGACGGTACTTAGACGAAACAGATCTCTGTTCAGAATTTTTGAATATTGGGATAGCAGATGCTGCTTTCCAGCAGGCTGGAAAACAATACTCTGATAAGCACTTATAAAATAGTTTTGAAAGTATAGACGACAGCTCATAAAAACTCTTCTGCAAGACTATAACAGGTATGTTAGCTGGACCACAAGCTGTAGAAGAGTCTAAGCAGGAAATAACTTGATACAGAAGTATTTGCTCTTATTATTGATACTGTTAAAGATTCTCCAGAAGTTACAAGAGCCTAACTTTTGAGATGGCATGCAAGATTTCATGACCTGAGAATAGCATTAGACAAAACCTTTTTACAATGGTTTTTAGCAATTGTAAACAGACGTTTGTTTTCGCGAGAATTGTTTTGCTGACATATGGAAATAATGGTTTTGATTGGAAATAGCAGCAGTACTACGTGAGGTATACCAAGAAAAAGAGTGAAGCTTGACTTGGAATTGTTGAGAGGGAATAAAAGATTCCATGCCAGCCTGAAGTCGAAAGATTTCTATCTGTTTTAGATTCTAAGGGTCATCACAAAGAAAATCACAGAAAGAGTCCTAATCAGCTTTAAGGTAATTGTACAAGGTGCGATGATAGGTGGATTCAGATGATGAAGAAAAATGAGATCATAGTTTTAAAGAGATTAAACCGTGAATCAGAAGCACCTAAGGGTGAATGTGGAGAAACTGAGCACTGTCTAGGATCAAAAACAAAACTAGTCAAGTAGAGAAGGTAAATAATTTGGATTGTCTGGATAGCAAGTTGGCAAATTGGCTATTTGTGTTAAAGATTGAGAAAGGCAAAAGTTGTGAGTCTTAATGCCTGCAGAATCACTGACACTAGAATCAAGCTATTAAGTGTGGTAAGTATAAAAGTCATTAACAATATTAGCTGATGGATAAAGAGAGAGGGCCTGGTTAATTTGATCAGAAATAACCGCAAAAAGAGTGCATTATTTGGGTGAAGGAGAGGGAACTCAAATTCGTCTCACAAAGAACAAGTAGGTCTGGTGAACTTTGCAAGAGATAAGATTTAATAGAAGAAAAGTTACTTCAAAGACTATTTTTAAATTTGTTAAAGAACTTGACTCGATACATAGATAGTACTCAGTACACTGTTTAATAGCCCAAGCAATTGCCTCATTGCTATTAATAAACCCTTAGCCATAACAAAGGGCTTCAAATGTGGCCTTGACAATTCATAATAAAAGTATGAACTGGGACCATCCATGCGCAACATGGCACTGTTAATACTTTGATATTTTTCAGCTGTTGATGGAATCAGCCTCTCTGAGAGTACCACAGAGTATAGGAAACCTGACTACCAGCTGGCCTCAGAACCATAAAACTGAGTTTTAGGAGATAATGGGATGAGTTGCGTAGTCATAAAATCATAGAAACAAGCAAAATCCATGCATTGAGTCAAGAAGAACCAGCATTCAACATCCTAAACTGGAAACAATGTATTATAAATACATCTTCAGTAATTTTGTTGAAATATTATTAACAGAATTGCTTTTAATTTAAACTTCAATCAATAAACTTCTTGATATAAGTCAAAGATTGTTATGGAGTGGATAACCTAAAAGCTCTATTTACTCAATATAGATATGTCTCACTTAAAATATTTAAAAATATATTTTTGCAAAACAATAAGAGTATATTGCAAAAAAAAAACTGATTTATATGGATATTTAAATAGCTTTTTTTTTATTTTGTGAGAGGATTTTTTCACCAGAAAATTTTTCAAAATTGAATTAATTTTAATTTTTAAGCTCTTGATGTTTTTGGCATTAACAACTTTAGACGGCAATATTAACACAGCTGAAGGAGAAAGAATATTTACAGACATCAAGTTTACTCATTAGTTTGCGTGATTGGAAGTTGTGACTTATAAATATAGTTGTTTATTAAAAAGAAACTTATATATTTTGAAAAAAGTTTATTAAAAGAAACTTATTAGGGCTGTTCAGTATGCTAATTTGTTTTGAGAGCATAGCTAATTGAAATTTTTCCCGTTCGACAATCATATTGTGGTTCAAAAATATTTTTTACAAAGTTTTATTATTTGCCCTGAAGATCCCTCAAAGCCCCCAAACATTTGACAGGTCCCTAATATTATTTAAAAAAAAATTATTTAAAAATATGTCAACCTGGTACTCAAAAGAAGCAAAATCAATTAAAAATTTCAAAAACAAAAAATGTTTTTTATAAAAATAACAATTTTAGGTTTTTTTGAAAAAAAACTATAGTCTTTAAACGAAAAATGAAAAAAAGGTAATACTACATTTTTAATTTTTACTACATTTTACTACATTTTTAATTTTTAATTTTTTATAAAAAATGAATCTAATTTTTAAAATTTTTACAAAATTTTGCTTCTTTTGAGTACCAAGTTGACATATTTTTAAATAATTTTTTTTTAAATAATATTATGGACCTGTCAAGTGTTTGGGGGCTTTGAGGGACCTTTAGGTCAAATAATAAAATTTAGTAAAAAATATTTTTGAACCACAATATGATAGTTGAATGGGAAAAACTTCAATTAGCTATGTTCTGAAAACAAATTAGCATACTGAACAGCCCTAAAACTTATATATTAAACTTATATATTTTGTTAAATTAATTAGCGCAAATTAGCCAGGTATTTTGTAAAAATAATTCAGCCCTAGAGATTTCACAAGCTTTTGTTCCAAATTTTGTATATGGACTTGGTTTCGGGTACTCGGACTTGGTATTTTCTGCCGAGTACCCTGAACCGAGGAATCAACATAAACTGGTTCCAGCACATCACTTATCTAAATAAATTTATTCTCCTAATATGTTTATAAGTAATGCATATTAGGGTGTCCCAAAAAACAACTTTTTTAAAAATAATCTGCTCTCACCCCCTAAATGTGTTCTATCTAATACAAAAACACTGTTTAAATTTTTTTTCAATAAAAAATAATTTAAAGGGTCCCTCAAGACCCTCGAATATTTAATGGGTCTTGAATATTTTCAAAAAAAAAGTTTTTAAAAATTATGTCAACCTGGTATTCAAATGAACCGAAATTATATAAAAATTTCAAAAATAATGTTCATTTCGGAAAAAACGATACGTACTTAAACAATACTTTTTTTTTAACGAAATGCGATTTTTTTACAGAAAATTGTTTTAACTATTATTTTTATTTTAAACAATACTTTTTTTTTTAACGAAATTGCGATTTTTTTACAGAAAATTGTTTTTTGTTTTGGCAAATATTGTATATTTTAAGGGAAATATCGTTATGTATCATTTTTTCCGAAATGAACATTATTTTTGAAATTTTTATATAATTTCGATTCATTTGAGTACCAGGCTGACATAATTTTTAAAAACTTTTTTTTTTTAAATATTAGGGACCCATTAAATATTCGAGGGTCTTGAGGAACCCTTTAAATTATTTTTTATTAAAAAAAAATTTAAGCTTAGTGTTTTTGTATTAGATAGAACACATTTAGGGGGTGAGAGTAGATTATTTAAAAAAAGTTGTTTTTTTCACAGTGTTAAATGAGAAAAAATTTTGCTAAGTGATTTTCTACTAATTTGTAATTGCTCTGTTCTTTTAAGAACATTGAGCACTCTTTTTGTAGAATACATTTTAAATTGTTTAAAAATATATATATATATATATATATATATATATATATATATATATATATATATATATATATATATATACATATATTCATATACACATATGATCAGCATCAGAATATAATTCAATACTTTTTGTTAAAATAACATAAACAACATGATAAGATATTAATTGACCCCCAAAAAATTTTTTTTTTTCAGATGGAGTTGGAAAAACATCACTAATATTATCACTAGTTACTGAAGAATTTCCTGAAGAGGTATTTTTCATTTTGTTTTTATTTTCATTTTCCTGAAGAAGTATTTTTCATTTTGTTTTCACGGTAATTATAATTGACCATATATATGATCTATATTACTTGTTTTTATCAGGTAAAATATACAGTTCAGTGACCCAGGTTACAAGGTGACAAGGCTAAAGTTTAAAAGTTAAAAAATTTAAAAAGTTAAACATAGTTTTCAAATCATTTCATACAAATAGTTGTCACAAATTTTATCGGTTACAAGTGAAAAGGAAAACTTAGTTATTTAGAAAAGTAATTAGTTTTTATGAAAAAACTTTAGATAAGTTTAAATAATAGTTTTCAAAAAATGGCGTTGCATTTTTTTAAAAAGAAGTTTATTTTGCATTTTTATCTAAAGTTTATTCTGAAAGCATTCTGGCATTGCATCGTGAGTTATGTATCAAACTTTTAATAAATATTATAGTTTCTTTAAAAGTTTTACACTACTCTGTAATGCTGAATCACATCACATTCTTTAAATTCAATTGTTATATCAAACATTTAAATTGTGTTAAAAAATGGTTACTTTTTGAATAAAGTTTATAAAATAATGGATTTCTATTTCCAGACTTCCAACATTTTGCATTGGAACTCATTGTTTCGTATAAACTATAGGACACTAAAAATTCGTTTTTGGCAAATTACAATTATATAGATAAATGCTTCTTGTATTTAAAGTTTTAAAAAATATATTTATTTAAAATGAAACACTCTTTAACATAGTAAGGATTTTTTTATTTTTAAGAGAATATGTTTAGGTTCCGTCTCGAGCTGAAGAAATAACAATTCCTGCTGATGTTACTCCAGAAAAAGTTCCAACTCATATTGTAGACTTCTCATGTAAGACATTATTATCATTATTATGCACAAACTAACCTATCCATGAGTAAACTATGTTGTTTACTGTGTACTATTTACTGTGTAAGAAACATACCTTACAACTCACTAACCAATTTTTAAGAGCATACCTCGCTAGCCAACTATATTGTGTAAGAAACACCAGCACTTAACAATATAACTGGTTTTGAATGAAGTTCACACATACATTTAATTTTAAGTTCACACATACATTTAATTTATTTATCTACTATAGTTTATTTATATGCGCACTTGCTCACTTTTTTTGCTCACCTAAATCGATATAAGTTTTTTAGAAAAAGAAGAAGAAAACCAAGAGTAATGAATGAAACGGTTGTTGCCATATCCCAAAACCTTTAGGCTATGTAGCAGCACTCCACTGCGAGTCAAGCTATTTGTCAGTCGATGTATGTACTGAAGCCCCCAGCAGCAGGCTATTTCAGTATGATGGGTTATTTATATAGCAGGCTATTTCACACTGCTCACCTAACTCAGCAGTATAATACATACATATATTTATATATATATATATATATATATATATATATATATAATATATATATATATATATATATATATATATCCATATAGTGTAGTCGAAAGAGCGTTTTAATGTAAAAAAAGTCTCTTACGACTACAATTTTAATTACCTCGTCTCTTAAGCTGTATTTAATTGTCGTCGAAATGTCAAAGCAATTAAATTAATGCGGAAGTACATTAAATTTTATTGTTTTTTAAAAATTTTTTAAAAAACTACAATTATAACGACTAGAAAGTTTTTTTTTATTAGTGATGTTTTTGTTTTTATTTTATTAAAAAACATTTTTAAAACATGCGTAAATGTTGCTACATCGACTATCTTATAGCCTAACTCACAACGGAGTGCTGCTACATCGATTGACAAATAGCCTGACTCGCAACGGAGTGCTGCTACATCGACTGACAAATAGCCTGACTCGCAACAGAGTGCTGCTACATCGACTGACAAATAGCCTGACTTGCAAGGGAGTGCTGCTACAATGACTGACAAATAGCCTGGCTCGCAAGGGAGTGCTGCTACATCAACTAAGGGTTTGGTTTGGGCAGGCAGTCTATCATTTAAAAAAAAAAAAAAAATTAAAGTTTTTAAACTTTTTCTGGTCTGGTTTATTAACGCGCTCTTTAAAACTACAGTTTATGGGAAACTCTTTTTAACTACCATGCAAGAGTATATATATATATATA